ATATAATATATATATCTATATAATATATATAATATATAATATATAATATAATAGTTAAAATATATATGACGATATTTTTTTAACTTATTTATACATTTACTTCTTTTTTATAAATAAGCAAGCATCAAAAAAAAGATCGATTTTTTAGGATAAAAATAATAGGAAATTATCTTCATATCGAATTTATAAAATAATGATAAATGATATAATGACTTGCGAGTTGCAAGAATGAGAAAGCAATCGATTTTCAATTTCATAATCATAGGATAGTTGTAAAATCTGAAAGAGTTCCCGTAACTAGAAGCACACGAATCATCTGTTAAAGTCCATCAGAGATAGTAGAATGCAGAGTTCAATATGATAAATTCAATCTTCTCGATGAGAGTAGGGTGCTTATATAAATATAAATATAAATTTGGCTGATTGGAAAACGCTAAAAAATGAAATCGAAACAAATTCTCCACTTTATTATAATTTTGCGACATTTGCATCCAAGAAAAGTCATCGTGCTTCGCTCAAACATTCGACCTCGACACGAGAGAGCTATCGCACACGCACATCCGCGACAGACCCAACCGCGTGTCCCCTTCTCTTTTCACCCACACTTCGAGTAGTTGGAAGAATATCTCTTTATATCTTGCCTTATCGAGCGAACGATGTGACGAATCGTAAAAAGTTCCACGTAAATTTCATAAAACATGTATCGTGTTTTATAAAAAAAAATGTCTCGTAAAATGTCTCGTAAAATTAGAAGCAAGTATATTCCTCGTAGTTATTAATTCTATAAAATCACTCGCTTCTTTTTCCAAAATTTAAAGTTAACTTAAAATTCGCAACTTTCAGTAATCGAATTTTGACTCAAATGTTTGCCGATATGGCGAGCGTTAGAGCTATCAAATCGCTTGAAAGAATGACAATCCATACCTCATCGGTGGAGCCGGCGGTAAAATCGTTGAGGGAGACCACCCAAGTGGCCAAGAGTTCGTTGAGGATAACGAGGTCATGATGCAGCCATACGATCAGTTCGTTGACCCAACGTACGGCCTCGGCATCCGCGCCAGTCGCGGTTGGCAGATGTAGAGCTCTGGAACTTCGGGACGGGCTAATGAGAGCACCGGAAGTCTTCCGAATCAGGCGTTTCCTGATCGGAGGTGTAGGTGGCACGTAACCCCCTGGCGACGGTGATCTCGTACCTGCTACCACACTCGTACCACCACCACCACCACCACCACCACCACCACTACCACTACCACCGCTACTACCAGCGGTGGTACCACCACTACTACTATTACCAGCGGTAACAGCAACAGCACTAACGGTCCCACCGCCACCTGCACCACCGGCACCAGCCCTCGCGAGCGACGACGAGGACGTCGATGACACTAACGTCGATTTCGATTTGTCCAACAGTTTTCCAACAGCGGTACCACCGGCAGCACTCATTGTCACGGCACTCTCACCGTGATAGGCATGGCCATCCTTGCCAAGCTGCAATGACGACGATGAAGTGGCCGCAGCGGCGGCAGAGAGCTCGTTCAGTACAAAACGATTATATACATATTTGCCAACACACAACACCATCAAACCGAATAACATCCAGCCGAATATCAGCATCGACAGCGTATCCATGGTCGTCTCACCAGTCGAGTCAAAACTGCATATCAGATCGTCCACCCGCTCGGCCAAGTCGGCCATATTGCCCCATCGTTCTGCCAACCAAGACCAATTGGATTCCAAAAACATTCTTTTCTATTTTCACCCGCGAGCAACCGCGGCCCCACCACCGCTTTATACTTGGCTATTAATACAACGCACATATACCCTGGGCTCTACTAACTGCGCTACACGGCACTGGTAATCGTAGTTATTCCTCCACGTTGACCTCGTCATTGTCATCATCATCGTCGTTGTCGTTGTCGTCGTCGTCGTCGTCGTCGTCGTCGTCATCGTCATCGTCATCGTCATCTTCGTCACTGTCATTTATTCGCGTCTTTACTCGGCGTGTATTCGCTTCCGTTTCGGAAAGCTACATTCTTCTATCCGATCAGACCTGGCTACTAGTAAGGTCACGCGCTTTCTTCGTCATCTCTTTCCAATGTTTGACTGATTCAGCCATTTATAAATGCGGATGTTTATCTTCGTCTTGAGTCTGCAAGCTCCAATTACCTAATTGAGACCAGAGTTGAAAGCTTTCGATTAATTTGAAAATCGCTTTTTTCAAGATTCCTTGCCGTCGACTTTGATGCTATCAGCGGTCTTTTCATTGATAGCATCAGTAAAATCATAATATTTTCTAGGTGCTATTTATCCATGTAAAAAAGTTCGAGTTTATTGTGTATGACCCATTACAAATGCACCGAGAATGAATGATATCTACACAATGAATGATATCTTCAAGAAAGTATCTACAAGAAAGTTTCAAGTTATGATCTCGTTGCACCGCGCAAAGTGAATTAAAATAATAAATATTTCTTTCTTTTCTTTTATTCTTTGTTGAGATGAGATTAAGCTGTGATAGAAAAGACATTTCGTAAATTAAATCTCAGCTAGTCTCAGCTAAATATAGCGTAAAAAAAACTGTAAATAGGAAACTGTATGGCATCGAGACAATTGTCGTTATGGTATAGGAGACAAGTTTCATCGGTAGAGATGCGGAATTTTGCTTTTAGATCTCTCAGAGAGATTATTCTCAGTTATATTTTTGATATTTTAATT